AAAAAAAAAAAACACAACAAACAAACAAAACAAAACAAAACAAAAACAAAAACAAAAACAAAAACAAACAAACAAACGCCTGGCTCATTCCAAATGGCTGCAGTATAAGATGGATGTGAAAGGGACGCTGGGCCCATTTCCCAGCTTATAATGAAGCACTTCCTTTTGGGAAAACAAAAAAAAAACAAAAAAAAAAAACATTTAAAACAAAGAAATAAGCTCACATAACGTGGTTATATCCAGGCTGAAACGAAGACTCAGTGTTTTGTTATTATTATTATTTCTTTTTATGGGGAACATAACGATCAGCTCACTGCTCAGTGTTTTCTTAATCTTATATCTCTATGCTGTGCAGGCAGCTCGTGGCAAAAGGTTAACCTTGCAAACCACCGGCTCCCGGTTAAGGTTAACTTCGCAAACTGACAGCTCATGGCTGATGTTCACTTTGCCAACTGCCGGCTCGTGGCCATGGTCAAAAGTCAAATTCCCAAACCGCCAGCTTGTGGCTGAGGTTAACTTCGCAAACGGCCTGCAAAAAAAACGCCAGCTAAAGGCTGGCTAAGCCGCCGAGGGTAGTTTCGCAAAACGCAAGCTCGTGGCTGATGTTCACTTTGAAAATCGGCTGCAATAACCGCCAGCTCGTGCCGGTGGTCAACTTCGCAAAAAAGTCACTTGTGGCTGAGGTTAACTTTGCAAACTGCCTGCAAAAAAACACTGCCACCACTTGTGGCTGAGGTTAATTTCGCAAAACGACCAGCACTCGTGGCTGAGGTTAATTTCGCAAACCGCCAGCACTCGTGGGGCTACGGTTGACTTTGACAACCGCCAGCTTGTAGCTGCTTTTTATGACTTATAATTTCTGCATCCTGTACGGACATCGGGAGGACACACCTGATTGAGCTTAACTTTGACAAACCGCCCGCTTGCGGTTGAGGTTAATTTCGCAAACGGCTAGCTTGTCTCTTCCAGCGGATGACCATATTACCCCGCAAGCAGCTGCGACGTCAGTCTATCTTCTCCAACCTTCCATTCAACCACAAATTATACCAACCAACAAACCAAGTAAGCCATCCAGATCTCTCTACCGCACGCATACTGGTCTGCAMACACCATCACATCTCTCTCTCTCTCTCTCTCTCTCTCTCTCTCTCACACACACACACACACACACACACACACACACACATGCATACCGGTCTGCTAACACCATCACAACTCTACCATCTCTCTCTCTCTCTCTCTCTCTCTCTCTCTCTCTCTCTCTCTCTCTCTCTCTCTCTCTCTCTCTCTGCGGACTCGGGCTGATGTCAAGGCAGATGGGGTCCCCATAACCCTGTCTCTTATACACATCTAGATGTGTATAAGANCTCTCTCTCTCTCTCTCTCTCTCTCTCTCTCTCTCTCTCTCTCTCTCTCTCTCTCTCTCTCTCTCTCTCTCTCTCTCTCTCTCTGTGCGTCTCTGCGGACTCGGGCTGATGTCAAGGCAGATGGGGTCCCAATAACCAGAGGGGGACAGCAAGAGCAGCTGGGATAACAGGAGAAGAAACATTCGACAAGAAAATGAGAGCAACACCACCATGCTGCAAGAAGACAACAACCTGGCTAACGCATTCAGACGGGCACGGAGACTGTGTACATACTCTTATCATGGCGCCCGCAGTGAGCTTTGTGTAAGCATCCGAACAATCCACAGAAAGAGAGAGCGCCCAGGAAGCACGAGAGAGAACGAAAGAGGGAAAAGCGGCGAGCGCACAAGGGAGGATAGGAAACAGGAGGAAAAGAGGGAGAGAGAAGAGAGATGGAGAGACAGAGACAGCCATCACAGTGTGAACACAAAACCTCACAGAAACTCTGTTCCTGTTATGTTTTCCTCGAAACAAAAAAGAAAACGTTTTCCGTCACTTCAGGTATGGCCGGCACCTCAAGATTTCTGATTCCCCGACGGCATTGGTGTCGGCTCGTTGTCGTCGTCGTTACGCTCTGATCGCACTTGCACTGGCTGTTTCTCAACATCAGCTCTCTCTCGATGTCCCTTCTGTCGATGCTTTCTATCTGCCTCTGGCATCTGCGCAGCTGCGATCAACGTTCCTTTCCTGCTCTCGCTCTTTGTCGCCGCTAACCACTTTGATTGAGATTGAGCACTCCCCAGACCACCAGCTCCCGCCTTCTCCAACATAACCTTTCCATATCCAGCCCATGACAGTATCGTCGTCCCGATAACAACATACCTAAATTGGCCAAGGGAAAAACGGGAAAACTTCAGTCAGCAGACTCAGCACATATTTCATGGAAAATGGATGTCAAAATGTTTATCGTTGACATCAACTTTACTTTGATGGTGTTACCCTTCTGAGTGTTTGATGCTGACCTGAAAAAGAAAAAGAAAAAAGGCCTTTTACGGTTTTACCTAGGGTAGGCTTTATTTCCGTGCGCACGGCCCCCCCCGACACGCACGGGTGCAAGGCATGGGCCCTCAGCGCGCGGGCCTTGGGGGGGCAATTTCAGGGACAGTGGGGCAACCTCCCTCCCGCCATCCCCCACCTCCCTTCTGCCATCTCCCACTCCACTCCCAACATCTCCAACCTCCCTCCCGCCATCTCCAAACTCACTCCTGCCACCTCCCACCTCCCTTTCACCATCTCCAACCTCACTCCACCACCTCCCATCTCCCTTTCACCATCTCCAACCTCACTACTATCACTGGTGGGGGGGTGTTTACCTCCCTCCTGCCATCTTTAACCTCTTTCCCACCTCCCACCTCCCTTTCGCCATCCCCAACCCACCATCTTTAACGTCCCTCCTGCCACCTCCCACCTCTCTTCCCACCACCTCCCACCTCCCTTCCGCCATCTCCCACCTCTCTTCCCACCACCTCCCACCTCCCTTCCGCCATCTCCCACCTTACTCTCGCCACCTCCTACCTCCCTTCCGTCATCTCCAACCTCCCTTCTGCCATCTCCGACGTCACTCCCATAACCTCCCACCCCTGCCACCTGACCTCTCTTCCCACGACCTCCCACCTCCCTCCCGCCATCTCCCACCTCCTACCCCCCTTCCATCATCTCCGACCTCCCTTCCACCATCTCAGACGTCACTCCCATCACCTCCCACTCCCACCACCTCCCACCTCTGAACAGTACGAGTCAGTGAGACCCCACACCAACCCTACCCCCGCCCCTGCCACACTCGAAATACTGGTGTGACAAACGAGTGCAAACAGCGCAGATTCGGGCAGATCTCTGCAGGCGCAGCAGAGGCCCCTCACCAAAAAAAAAAGAAAAAAAAAAAAAGAAACATAAAAAAAAGCTTGCGCAGGTGACCCATGCAGCCGCCGGGCCGTGCAGGCTGCATGGGTGCACGGCCGTGCCGGCCCGGCCAGGGGGCATAGGAAGCCTAGCATTTTACCCTTAACGCGTGTGCCCCTTACATTTCGCTACCTGGCAAAAGTATCTGTGGACTTTTATACTTGCCCCCCTAACACCATGATAGCCATCAGACACATTCTATGAGGTGCCATCGAGACCGTCCTCAGTGACGGCAGTCCTATGAAGAACGGCCAAAAGAACAAAAAGAAAAAAAAGCATCCCTTATACTGTGATCGTGGTCCGATTCAGAAAGAAAAAACAGTACTCATGTAAGTATCGCATGAGTGAAGCTGTGTGGCATACTGATACGACACGGGCCCCAGTTAGGGTCCGGTTCTGTACTAGGCACGGTTTAGGCCTAGGTACCAGGTCACGACAATCCCAGATAGGTTCAGGTAGGCCTAGGAACCGTCGGTTCAGTTTAGGGTCCGGTAGGCCTCGTTTAGACCCCACCAGACCCGACGGCTAGTTGGTGAGGCCAGGTACCAGGCCATCGGTCGGACCGGCCGGCGGCGCAGTTTCAGATTTGTTAAGATCCTGGCCAATTTCGAAGTATACAAACGTCAGAAAGTACAATGCCGTCCAATTGCGAAAAGAAATGAATGAACTTGAGAGGAGAGAGAGGGAAAGAAGAAGAAGAAGAAGAAGAAGAAGAAGAAAGAAAGAAGAAGAAGAAGATGTACTCCAGCATAGACCAATGACAAGGCTCTTCTTCCTCGCCAACCAATCTCCTCCTCCATATCTCCTCCCCTCTTATTCAAACAAGACATAACAATATTAATGATGAATGGCTGAACCAGAATCAATGTCCGAATCCCCCTTCTACTGCAGGCACAACATGAGGTCCACCATAGCGATGGCCACTCTTCCTCTTCCTCTACATACAGGCCGAGGCTATGGCGGAGTACTGAGGGCTCTCCCTCCTGTCCAAAGGACAACCCAAAGAAGCTAAGTCGCTGCCCTTCTGTCCCCAGATCAACTCCCTGCAGCTATGCCGCTGCCCACACTCAACCGCCATGCCAGACTCTGTCCCGAGCTTCCTTGATGCGGCACTACCCCCACTGGGGCCTTCCAGATGCAGCGCCTAACAAGGTGGAAGCTCCCGGCTTCTTCCTCCCAGCAGCGCTGTAGTACCCAGCGCTACTCCAGCCAGCGCTCCAGCAGCGTGTCTCCAAACTTGCACACTGAAGAATGAGGCCGATCTCTTGCCTTGGCCTCTTCACATAGCGGCCTGCTTGCCTCTTGGGCGGTGACTTCCAGGCCGCTCGGCCTCCCAAGCAACCGGTACCTCCTCCCTTCCGGAGGGAAACATCATTGCAGACTCTGATATTGCCCGTGCAGACTCTAGACTCAGACTGGATGGACTGGTACCGGCCTAGACCTAGCCTACTGCTACTAGGCCTCTAAAACTGCCAACTTTGTCTTCTTCTGCTCGGCCTCGAGTACCCGGCACATCTACTGCTACTGGGTGCGGTACCGGCCTACCTGCTACTTGAGTGTTTTTCCGCTGCTCCAGGTGCCGCGGGCCCCTGGCTCCGCTACTTGAGTGTTTTCCCCTGCTGCAACCCTCAATGCCACGGCCACAGGTAAGTACCGGCCCTACGGGCCTGCCAAACAAGCAAGTACCCTTGCGGGTCACACACACACTCGTGTCGACAAGCACTCAGACAGGCACGCAAGTCAACAGGCACACACACATGCAGACTTAGAAAACACAGCAGACTGCGGGAAACTCAGCAAGGCATCCATTCCATCGGCAGAACTTCAGAAATCAGCAGTGTTCTCAGTCTGTTTTATGGCGGGTCATTACAGATTTCGAAATCGGATCTGAACCGTTGGGCCCGATCAACGGTCCAGACCCGAAGGCACTCAGTAGGACTGAGGCCGACCCAGCACTATATATGCTGGGTACCAGCCTCAGTCAGGCAGGTTAGTCTACAGATTAGTCTACAGTTAGTCTACGAGTTAGTCTTCAGGATTAGCGCAGCGTTTCAGCAGGAAGATGCGCCGCGAGGAAGGATTAGCGCAGCAGCAAGGAGGAACATCACAGCAGCGCCTTAGCGCAGCAGTGGAATAGCGCCAGCCTCTGGCCCAGCCCACGGCCCAGCGCCCAACCCTGCAGCGCCATAGCTGTATAGCCAGGTACCAGGGAGAAAGGCTTCGCCTTTCCTCCCTCTTCTTCCTCCTCCGCTCTCTCTCTCTCTCTCTCTCTCTCTCTCTCTCTCTCTCTCTCTCTCTCTCTCTCTCTCTC